GGTAGAGACGGGGTTTCGCCATGTTGACCAGATTGGTCTCGATCTCCTGACCTCAGACGATCCACCTGCCTCGGCCTCCCAAAGTGCTGAGATTACAGGCATGAACTACCACGTCCAGCCATTCTTTAACCTTTAAAAGGAATTAAATAACACTACATGTGACAACTTGAGTCAACCTTGAGAACATTATCTAAGTGAAATAGGCCAGACACAAAAGACAAATACTCTACGATTCCACTTACAGGGGTTACCTAGAATAGGCAAATTATTAGAGACAGCAAGTAGAATAGAGGTTATCAGGGGCTAGGGGAAGCAGAAATGGAGAATTATTCTTTGGTGGGTACAGAGTTTCAGTTTTGGTGGGTACAGAGTTTCAGTTTATTTTTCCAGAAAAAGTTCTGGAAACGGATGGTGGTAATGGTTGCACAACCTTGTGAAGAAACTGCCACTGAATTATGCACTTGAAATTGGCTAAAATGGTAATTTTTGTGTTAAGAACATTTTACCACAATAGAAAATACGTAGAAAAAACTGTATGCATGATTTTTTTAAAAGCACATGCTTTGAGACATAGGACAATGTGTAGTGAGATATTAAGGTGTAATCTCAGAGTATTCATTGATTCATTGAAAAAAGCTAATTCTATTGAGCCCCTGCTTGTGCCAGTTACTCTTCTCGTTCTGGGGACGGAGCTTGATAAACAAGACAAACAGCCCCTTGCTCTAGGGGAGGGGGTAATGGACACTGGGGTTATAAGAAGATTCTTTCGTTTTTGCCCCTTTCTATATTTTCCAAATTTTTCCAATGGACATTGTATTTTTATGTGTGGGGAAAATATAAAGGGAAGAAGGGAGGCAATTATGAGATCAACGTTGGCCTGAGATGGTTGTTAATTTTCCTCTTCCTCCTGGGCTTATGCTGTGAGCACACACCTCATCAATACAGAGAGGACCAGGTCCGATGATGATGAGGGAGGGGTGCAGGAGGAGCAAGAGAGTGGCACCTGCTCAGTCTGCCATCCTGCTGTCTCCCAGCTATGCTTTGAGCTTTCTTGCTTCCAGAGGCACCCGAACTCCAGTAATCTGTCAACCCCCCTCACTCCACCCAGTGGTCGTTTACATCAGTGTTCAAAAGATCCAGAGCTTCTCTTTTAACAGTAGTCCTGCAATAGCTCTTGAATAATTGTCTTGACCCCTCCTCTGCTTATACCAGGCTATCACCCTTCTAGAGACTCGAAAAGTTATCTGAAAATATCAGGCAGAGGTTAATAAATGAAAGGCCTCAGCACCTTTCCTCCAAGAAATTATTGCTAATTTGGGGCTCCTCTTGCAACATAGCAAAACGGAGAATTTCAGGGCTTTGCAATGCAAGAAGTCCCCAGTGGCCTCGTTTCTACATTTCCTCTCCACCCCCAACTAATTGACCGTAAGTTTTTGTTCATTCTCGTCTGATCTTGGCTAATATTAGGTGAGGCAGTTTGACCCAGATGAATGAAATTCTGCTTCCTTGATCATGACTGCAAAGGGACACCGCCCCGCGCCCCACCTCCTCAGTGCGGAGACAGGAGGAATCCCTCAGACCCCGCAGCTCTCTCTCATCTCTGGCAGCCTGTGCCCCGTGCTGTAAGAGATGAAAGAGATCCACACGATGATCCCTGGCATCTTTGGCTACTGTTATTCTTCTGTATCCCTTGGCCTCAGGATCTATTTTAGGCAGTAACTTCCACTCCCTCTCTGTCAGAAACCTCTCTCATCATTGAACTAGATTTTGGAAGTGTATGAACATCTGGTTTTTGGACTGTGAGTCCCCTCAAGGCTGATAGCATGTTTAATTTTAGCTAATGAATGGATGTTTAATTTATGAGTATATGATGAATGAATAAAACCAGCTTTGATGGTTTCATTTTAATCTCATTCCAAGACAAATCTTACTTTCTATATTTTTCCCCACAAAAATGGATTTTTCTTCTCTATTTCAATTCTTTTTATCTCCCTCTCCCCAAAATCTCCAATTATCAGCTCTGCCATGGAAAATTTCTTCTCTCCTCTCTATTCTGACTTGTTCGTGATCCAGTCGTTCTCTCTAAGGAAGGCTATGTAGTTTGGAGGTTATAAAGCTCAGGCTTCCTGTGTTCAAGTCCTGATTCCACCACTCGGTGGTTGTAACCTCTGTGTGCCTCAGTGTCCCCACTTGTAAATTGGGGCTAGTCGTAGACACCAGCTTGTGGGGTCACTTCAGGAGGGGTAATGAAGATTTAAAAAAGAATACATATCGTTGAACCTGGCAACTGATGAAAGATTCAATAATGTTGGCTGTTAGTAACATTTTACTTAAATAGATAGAGGTTATGATATTATCTAGGTAGTTAGCCCTTTCTTAAAGGCCTCGGTCTAACCCAACACTTTATCATATGGGGAGAAAATGTGTAATTGAACTGTGAGGAAAACTCTGGAAAAATGGGTTGCTGGTGCCAGAGAGGAGGTGACTGGAAAGTGTGACAGCTCCTCTTGCCCTGCCGTCTCTTGCCTTGAACCCACTTCCGCGTGCCTCAGAGCCTTTGAGCCTCCAGCAACTCCACCATCTGCTCCAGGTGTGAACTTTGCACATGGTGAGCTCACTGAGGTCCAGCCTACTTATCAGCTGTCTTATTCCCCTCTTTCAAAGAAAGGAGCTGCACTGTCATGAGTACAAACAACTTGCCTGGGTCTACAACCCCAAGGTGACGATGTCGAGTTGTGATCCCGCGTCTTCAGAGGACCAGCTGGGACCTCTGGGAGACGCAGAGCTGCTGGGGTGCTCTTCACATGCACTTAATCTGCTGTGTCCACTGAATCTACCCCACTTCTAACACCCCAGTCCCGGGCTCCGTGGGTGTAAAACGTGAGTCTCTGCACCCCTCTTCACATCCCGGGGGCGGGTGAGAATAAGCCAGCAGCCCTGACCTGGGCTCTGTGGCCTGGTCATGACTGCCAGTGGGGGGTCTTGCATCTGTGTTCTCAGCCTCCAGCCTGGCCCCCTTTTGGGGACTTGAACCGACCCACAGTGTCAGTTCCTGCCATAAACAGATTTCAGGGGATAGCAGCACTTGCTCTTGACTCCTAGGCACTTGAAGGCCGCCTGCATCCCCCACTCCTAGGCCTTGCCGGCCTGAGGGCAAGTTCCTTCCATGACCTGCAACTTCAGACACTAGGCCCTCCCCTCCTTACTTCCCATCCCCCATTTTGTCAAAGAACCTAGAATGTTTTGTTATCTGAAGAGCCTGGGTTTTGACAAACCCTAGGATTGCTAGTATCTCTTTTTGGAGTGGACTTGAACTGTTTACTACAACTGTGACATGCAGCAAATCATTTTACTGCTCTGAGGCTTTACTTCCTTCTAGCTAGAATGAGCATTAGGCTGGACATGGTGGCTCATTCCTGTAATCCCAGATCTTTGGGAGACCGAGGCAGGTGGATCACGAGGTCAGGAGTTCAAGATTGGCCTGGCCAAGATGGTGAAACTGGATGTGGTGGTGGGTGCCTGTAATCTCAGCTACTCGGGAGGCTGAGGCAGAGAATTGCTTGAACCCAGGAGGCGGAGGTTGCAGTGAGCCCAAATTGTGCCACTGCACTCCAGCCTGGATGACAGAGCAAGACTACATCAAAAAACAAAAAACAAAAAACAAAAAAAAAACAGAGCATTAAATATATGACTTCTTAAAACTGTGTGGATTTTCTCGGCTGTAGATGAAGACCTCTAGTCTTCATTTGCAACTCATATGCCTCATGCTATTGTTCGAGAATCATCTTTTCTATTCATGTAAGCTATACACACTGATCTTTTAAAAATCTTATTTATTATTTTTTTATTTTTGTAATGGAGTCTCCCTCTGTCACCCAGGCTGGAGTGCAGTGGTGCAATCTCAGTTCACTGCAACCTATGCCTCCCGGGTTCCAGTGATTCCCCTGCCTCAGCCTCCAGAGTAGCTGGGATTACAGGTGTGCACCACCACACCTGGATAATTTTTGTATTTTTAGCAGAGATGGAGTTTCACCATGTTGTCCAGGCTGGTCTCGAACTCCTGACCTCAGGTGATCCGCCCGACTCAGCCTCCCAGAGTGCTGGGATTACAGGCAAGAGCCACTGCACCCAGACCTTTTTTTTTAAACTTTAAAATCCACTTTTGACACTTTTGTAAAATACCATCAACCTTGTGTACTAAGCTACTGTTGTGACAACTATGATAATTTCCCTCTGAAAATGGTTTAGAGACATGAAATAATAAAAATAACCTTTAAAATGCAATATCACTCTGATTCTATTAGGAAACACATAAGTCACTGGATTTAAACTATGTCAATGCCCTGTACTTTCTGTCTCTCAGTAGGTACTGTAACTGTTGGTTAAATGATTATTTTTCATGCTTCCTTTCTCATTTCTGCTTTTTAGATGTTTAAAATGTCTTTGCTTCTTGATAAGCGAATTATTTCCTCCCACATGACCATGAGTCATGACCTTATGTTCTTGTTTCAGTACAGGCGAAAGTGTCATTAATTTACTAATGCATTCATTCAGCAAGTAAACTTTTGCAATCCTCGTTTACTCATATACTTTTACAAAAACAAAGAGACCCACAAGCTTTTTGAGTCTTCACAACCCAAAACATGTATTTGAAACTGAAAATTAAATCATTCCATGTTTATAGGCATATTGCTTGACAGAAACATATAAATCATTACCTGGATTTTTTTTTTTCTTTGAGATAGCGTCTAGCTCTGTCACCCAGGCTGGATTGCAGTGGTACAATCTCGGCTCACTGCAACCTCCGCCTCCCGGGTTCAAGATATTCTCCTGCGTCAGTCTCCTGAGTAGCTGGTATTACAAGCGCCCGCCACCACACCCGGCTTTTTTTTTTTTTTTTAAATTTTTAATTGAGACAGAGTTTCACCATATTGGCTACACAAGTCTTGAACTCCTGACCTCTGGTGATCCACCTGCCTCGGCCTCCCAAAGTGCTGGGATTACAGGCGTGAGCCACCATGCTCAGCCTGGATTTTTTTTTTAATCCAACCCAATTCTGTATTTTCCTCTAGAGAGATTGACTCACCAAACCTATCTCTTTTTCCTGGAAACACAATCAAATTAACTTTCCAGTCACCACTGCATCTAGGTGGGGCCACATGAGTAGTTCTCACCAGTGGAATGTAGTGAAAATGAGATGCTGTCTCTTACGGACTAAGGAAGCTGTCTTTCCTCTTCTGACATTTGCTGACCGGATGATGCTAGATGATCTTGAGACCCTGTACTGAAGACTGGAGAACTGCAGGGAAGGAGCCGTGTCTCCGAACCACCGTGGGGAAGACTGCTTGTCTAACCGCTGACGACTGTGAGGTAAGTCATTACGGATCTGGGATTGTCTGACACAGCAGTTAGCAGGCCCTGACTGACACATCCCTCTTATTCTTTAAGTTGAACAAATTAGAGGCTGGAGTGTTCTGGGTAGCGCTGCTATATGGCATGGTCAAAGATGGCACTTCACAGGTGATTTATAATCCTCCTACCATTTACTCTGTATTCATTTCGAATAATATAACCTATAATTTCCTAACCTTCAGCAGAATAGGAAAAAAGGCTCAAAGTCACAAACACACACGTTTCCTTTCAGTGTACCTTTGCTGTTCACCACAGTGGCAAGTTCACGGGCCTGGCAAGACCTCTCCCTATTTGGGCATTTCATGAATACAGAAGAATGGACACCCTGGTGTGACTCAACATCAGAATCCAAAACATGGCATCTTTACCTAGCCCTTTTCACTTCTTTTAGATCGTCAATAAACATAATCTGTTTTCTTTCAAAATAACATGGTTATCTAATTCCCTTCATTAGCAGCTAACAAAAGAGGCCCCCGGCTCCCCGTAACCTAATTCACCGGGTCCCTGAGCTATTGCAGGCTTTCCCGCTCGCTCTTGCGACAGGCACAATCTCACTTCTTTAATGTAAGGTATGGCTTTTCTGTTGAAATGTGCTTCCTGTTTTCACCTCCGTAACTTACAGGCGTGACTGCCTGGGTCTTCTCTCAACATTCCCAGCCCCCTGCCTCTTCATATCCCGCGGTACCTCTGTCTTCAGGAGCCTCCTTCATGACCGTTCCCTGGAAATTTATCTCAGATCATTTCCTTTTGGGTCTATCTCTTCTTTAAGAGAAATAATTTTAAAGTCAAAGCTCCATAATACAGAGATCTGTGTCTCTTTCCCACCATCTGTTTTCTGAACCTCCCCTCCTGGTTCAAGCCTCTGCAGGATAATTTGAACACAAATCATCGACTGCCAACTGAAATCAAACAAGATAATATCCAATTTGCCCTTTTTTCTCTCTCATTTGTCCCAATGTTTTTATTTCTCTATCAATCAATGAACAAATCACTTTGGTACACTGTGCCAGTAGCTTTGAGAGGAGAACAGAAGAAATACAAGCAAGCTCACCAGTAACTTATGAAGCTCACTTACATGAAGCCATTCAAGAATAAGACAATAGATGACAGCAGTCACGTGGTGTGTACAGAAAGACAGAAAGTGCGTTCAGAACTGCAGAGGGGAGGTATCAATGTGTGCTACAGCCAAGGAAACGTTTAGTAAAGATGGAATTTAACCCCTAAGCACCATCAGGCTAGAGCAATAGGAAGTACAAACGTTTCATATGCAGAGAATAACACAAACAAAGGCACAGGAGCAGAAATACGAGTAACAGACTCAGTGGGTCCTGTTCGTTATGCACCTGTCCTGACCCTTGCACCGTGCCGGGCCCTTTGCATTCATTGTATCTGATGCTCACAGCAATCCTGAGATTATGAGGTGGGTATTTTACAAATACAAGAAGTCAGTTTTAGAGAAGTACTAAATGGAAGAATCAGGATTTCATGTCTGTACTTCATTCACTGTGTAGGAAGGTGAAGGTGGTTAAGGAGGTGCTGCTCTGAGAGCAGAAGGCAGTCACTGGGGCAGATTGGTGGAGCTATGTCATGGAGATCCAGGATGGTCAGTGAGGATGCTGGGCCTCACCTAGTAAGCAACAGGGACTGCCGTAGGTGTTTTAGCACAGAAATAGAACGGCAAACTTTAATTAGACACAATCTGAGTTCAAGGCCATGTTCTGTGTTAGCTGTGTGACTGGGAACCACAGTTAAACCTGCTGAGATTCTGTTTCCTTCTCTGTAAAATGTGTTCAACAGCAACATCAATGTATAGCATTGAAAGGCTTAAATGAGATTTTACTAAAGTACCTGAGATATAGTTAGCATTTACTATACGATAGATGTTGTTGCTGTTACTACTACTACCACCACCACCACTGCTGCTGCAACAGTGCTTAAGGATGATAATGTGGAGAAAAACAGCTAACAGATATTTCCTGAAGACATGAAATGAGATGGCATAGATAGATAGATAGATAGATAGATAGATAGATAGATAGATAGATAGAAAGATAGATAGATAGGTGATAGGCAGATAGAGATATATGCCATTTGGTTATATATACACAATCAAAACTTGACTCTGGAAATACAGATGAATAAAGGTGAATTAGAGTCTAGTATAAAGAGAGAAGATTGGAGAATGAGGATTGACACATCTGGGATGTCCACAGTTGGGGAGCAGGACACGGGAGAGAGTCAGTGACAGACACAAGGAAAATGCAGAGGAAGAGGTAAGATGGTCACGTAGACCACAGCAGTGAGGTAACAGGAAGGGGTTCCTCAAAGGGCGAACGAGGTCTACTGTGCCGAGGCGTGCTATGGGGAGAACAGATTAAGGACTAGGAAAAGGCTTCTGCAGTTGGGGCAGTGACAATGTGGAACACAGACTGGGAGGAACCAGGTAGGAGTAAAAGACACTGGCCACAGCCACAGGCACTGCCCATTCATCTGAGGTGTAAGTATACAGAGAGAACTCGGCTGTGGCTTGAAGTAATAGCAAGACAAAGAAGGAGGTTATTTTTAGTTCTTGGAGAGGCCAATACTGCTGATAATCCTGAGTGAGCTTCAGTTCATCCCTACCCCTTACTATGGCACAACTCTTCATCGACTGGTCCCTGAGCCTGCACCCTCTTACAGTGCAGGTTAGTCCTGGACTTAGTCTGGGTTCTGTTAACTCTTGTTTTCTCTTTCAGGTCTCACTGTTGCTACCCCACTCATCAACTTGATCTATTTGCCCCCAATCCCACCATTTTGGATGACATTATGAATCCTCTGATCTTTAACAAATCCATCCAAGATTGTCTGTTTCTTCTTCTAAGGTGTCACCAGGAATGAAGATTCTTTCACCTGATTTATTTTTTCTGGTTTAACACGTGTCTGAAAAAATAATAGCAATTATTATTATTATCATTGTAGGATTCATTTCACTCCTCTCAAACACATTCAAAAAGTCTCTTCATCTCTTCCATTATGATTATACTCAGCTGTTACCCAACTACCCAACTGTATCTTGGGGTTGTATAATTCTGTCATGAGTTGTACTCAACTGTTATCAAACATATCTTGGAGCATGCACCAGGAACAAACTCCCTGACTCAGCCCACCTTGCAAGTAATTCTTAGACACACACTTTCTCCACAAAGCCTGTCTAGTTGAAGTTCTCTAAATCCCCGCCCCCACCCCCCCACCAACCCCGGTTAAGCATAGGACTTCCATGGTTACATCCCATTTATTACTTTCCCAAGCATGCGTAATGCGTTTCATCTCCAGTTACAAACATTGTCTGCTAATGAACAATGTAGATAGTTACCACGTTGTATAAACAGTTACTTATTTCCCTTCTGTTGTTGGTTTTATCCAATAAACTAGTCCCATCAGCTTCAATTTACATCACCTTATCTCATACAGATGAGAAACTGTATGTAATTCAGCCTGTCTAAACTGGAGGTAACGCTAGACTGCAGTATCCCTGCACGGTGTCATATTAAAAATGGCACCCTATAAATTTTTTATGAGTTAATAATGATTGTGATCCTATTCCTATTTTCTACAAGTTCTTCTATTATGGTGGCAATTAAATAGCCTCACTTTCCTTTCATTTTCTGCAAACCTACTGCAGTCATCATTAACTTTCTTAATTGGCAGTGGCTCTGAATTCCAGTCTTCCAGAGAGTTCCCATAAACAGCCTCTTTCTTAATACTTATATCATAATGTTTTCCTCCTTCCCTTGCATTTCATTCTGCCTTTGGGCAGGAACAGCATCATTTCCTGCTCTTCTGGGGTTTCAACACTGACTTCAAAGCACCCTTGCTCATCTCACTGGGAGACTCTGCAGCCAAGCAGAGATTTGCATGAAACCCACCCACCCTTCACCAGCACAGGATACATGGACATAACTGCAGTGACTCTTGGCGACTAGTCTCTGTGGTGCACCAAAAAAGGTCCCCAGTGCGCTAAAAGGAACTGTGGACTCAAATATCACCTCAAATAAGATGAGGTCTTTCTGAGAGAAAGGAGATGTTGACGCACGTGAGCGGGAGGGGATAGGAGAGAGTTGATATACAATGCAATTACAGGTTCTTATGCTTTCCAAAGGGGGGGATGATTCAATGATTCCTAACTGGTCCACAGCCGTATGTCAATTGAGGTTAAAATGCTAATTTGAATTGCAACTCTCTGAAAAGAAGGGGAAAAGCTAAGGAGATAAAATGTAACAGGGTGAGTCCTGAATTTAGATTTAAACGAACTCCACAAGTACAAGAAGACAGAGGCTGGCAACAGTACTTGCTGTCATGTTTAGTTGGCCACTGGTCAGTCTGACACAGCAGGGGGTGTGATCATGTAGCAGCGATAGAAAACTTATGCTGCAGTTAATAATAGTAGTCATACTTTAAAGCGTATTTCAGTTATGAATGCACTCTGACTAGAAAAGTAACTTGCACTAGCGTAACAGTCAAATAGCGAGACGCGTGGAGAAGTGGCACTCACTGTGCGTCAGCAGCTCAACAGTGTTTCTACTCTCTTAGCCTCTTCCTCCTGCTTGCCACCTCTCAGTCACAAGACGGCTGCTGCCACCCAGGCTCATATCCAAATTCAAGGCAGCAAGAAGGCCATGAAGTGGCCCCTGCCAGGTATGGCCTTTTTCCAGACATCCCCAGCAGATTTCTCACTGTCTGTAACCACATCCCACAGCGTTCTTTTTTTTTTTTTTTTTTATACTTTATGTTCTAGGGTACATGTGCACAACGTGCAGGTTTGTTACATATGTATGCATGTGCCAAGTTGGTGTGCTGCACCCATTAACTCGTCATTTACATTAGGTATATCTCCTAATGCTATCTCTCCCCGCTCCCTGCACCCCACAACACGCCCCCGTGTGTGATGTTCCCCACCCTGTGTCCAAGTGTTCTTATTGTTCAATTCCCACCTATGAGTGAGAACATGCGGTGTTTGGTTTTCTGTTCTTGCAATAGTTTGCTGAGAATTATGGTTTCCAGCTGCATCCATGTCCCTACAAAGGACACGAACTCATCCTTTTTTATGGCTGCATAGTATTCCATGGTGTTTATGTGCCACATTTTCTTAATCCAATCTGTCACTGATGGACATTTGGGTTGGTTCCAAGTCTTTGCTATTGTGAATAGTGCCGTAATAAACATACGTGTGCATGTGTCTTTATAGCAGCATGATTTATAATCCTTAGGGTATATACCCAGTAATAGGATGGCTGGGTCGAATGGTATTTCTAGTTCTAGATCCTTGAGGAATCACCACACTATCTTCCACAATGGTTGAACTAGTTTACAGTCCCACCAACAGTGTAAAAGTGTTCCTATTTCTCCACATCCTCTCCAGCACCTGTTGTTTCCTGACTTTTTAATGATTGCCGTTTTAACTGGTGTGAGACGATACCTCATTTCCCACGGTGTTCTTAGGTGCAAGGTTGGCCTGGAGAGTCAACGCTTGGGTTTTCCAATACCTGCATGGGACGTGGGCAAGAAGGAAAGGAGTTGGGTTTAGGAAACCAGTAGTGCCAGCCCTTTACTTGTATCACATCTGATCCCCGCAGCAAACCTGAGGAGTAGCTATTTATTATCTCTGTTGAGCAAATGAAGAAAATCAGAACTGGCAACATCAAGAAAAAATGAGGAAAGACATACATTAGTAAATAATAAAGCCAGGATTCCAATTCAGATCAGGTTGAATCCAAAATTCCTCTCCCTGCCATTATAATGCATCATAGTGTTCGGGTCATGTGGGCCTGGGAAGGATGAATCATATTCAACTATCCCACCACATTTTTGTCCATTTTTTAAAAACTAAAGTATAACATCCATCTTGTTATGTTAATACTGACATCTCGAGAATATTAAATCTTCCAATCCATGAACATAGACTGTTTTTACATTTATTTGGTTTCTTCTTTGATTTATTTCAACAAAGCTTTGTAGTTTTCACAGTGTAAGTTTTGTACTTCTTTGTTAAATTTAATTCTAAGTATTTTAGTCTTTTTATCTTAAGTGAAATTACTTTCTTAATTTCATTTTCGGTTTGCTCATTGCTACTGTATACAATACAATTAATATTTGTACATTGCTCTTAATCCTGTAACCTTGCCATACCTTATTCATCTTGTTTGTTCTTTGAATATGTGAAACATTCAAAAGATTTTAAAAGACAGAACTATACACAAAGGTATTGTCCTTGTAATTTTATGTCTGATTGGAAGAATTCTCCACAGACTAGCTTCTGGTGGTGTACTTTTCAAATCTTGTTTTTCTCCACTACCCATATATTTTCATGAGAATTCTGGGTACTAGAAGATACAGTCGTACCACAGTAAGACCTCTGGTCCTGGACTTTAGTATCACAGTGCTGTTAGTCAGTCAGTAAGCCATAGGAGTATTCCTGGAGGTCATTTCCTCACTGGGGTGCCCAGTAATAACTTAACCATATGTTGAAGTTACTGGAAACCACATTATTATAACCTACTCCACCAAAACTAAATGTATCTATAACTCAATTTCCCCTTAACTGGGTCTCCAAAATGCCCAGTAACACCTGATGCAAGGGGAAATGTGATGGAGGGGAGGCTAAAGTGAAGGTACAGCAGACTTAACTAGTTGTAGTAAAGATACTTTACCTCTGAACATTTACGAAACATATGACCATGTGAACACAATTCTGGGTCCCCTCTGGGGCTCAGAAGAAGGTGTCAGTGCTAATGAGGGGCTCTAAAAGTGAAAACTTCATTAAATTCATTGCAAATCCGCCTTTCTACTCCAACTCTCTGAGTTGTGTTCCTTTATTTGCAAAATACAAATAATATTTGCTTTGCCTATTTGAAAGGTTATTGTGATATATAATGAAATTTGTGTTTTTTTTAAAAAAATTTATATTATTATTTAATGCCTGATTAGAGTTTTTGTGTATTTCATGCATTAGAGTTTTACATGTATTTTCCAGCATTGGCTGTGACAAAATCTCCCTTCCCACATTCTCTTCCTATGATAACTTTGGCACTCCACCACTGAGAGCCTGGGTCTTTGCTCCCTCTCTTTGAATTTGGATGTCATCCTGTGACTGCAGCAGAAGTGATACTATGACTCCAAAAGCTACGTCATACATGGCAATATAGCTTTCACCCGGCTCTCTTGAAATCAAACTACTGTAAGGAAATTCAAACCATAGAGAAGCCCACACGAAGAACAGACAGCTACCTCCAACCTTCCAGTCATGTGAGGGAGCCCATTTGAAAGTGGTCTCTCCAGGTCCCATTAAGCTGACACAGGGTGGAACACAGACAAGCTGTAGACTCACAAGCAAAAGCAACGACTGTTGTTGCTTTAAGCCTTTAGATTTTGGAGTGGTGTATTATGCAGCAACTGATAACTGATATACCATCCCAGCTTTCCAGTGAAGGCCCTCTCCACTCACGCCAAAATGAACTTCCCCTGTTCTGCAATACACTTTGCATTTCCCCCTAATATGCCTTTCTCATGCCATCTCTTCCAGAATATTTTCTACCCATTGAAATACGACTTGTCCTTAAAGGCCTCTCTCAAATGCCACTTCCTCTCTGAAGCTTCTCTCACTGCCCCCACCAGTTTTCCTATCTCCCTCCTCGAAAATCTTGGAGACCTTTGATTCTATCATTTATACAGTACTTATTGCCAGGATTGATATTTAGGGTATTTATCAACTGACCCAGAAGGGAAGCTTCCTAGATTATCAGTCCTGGGAGCGCCCTCTGCCTTGTGGCAAAGTTGGTTCCACACCTTTTCAGCTCCTCCTCTTCTAGCCTGGAAGCACCTTAAGGGCAGGCTGCCTCATATGTTTTTCCTCCACGCAAAACATAGGTTCTTGCACATAATAAACTTCATACATTATTATTATTATATTATTTTGAGACAAAGTCTTGCTTTTGTCCCCCAGGCTGGAGTGCAATGGCACAGTCTCGGCTCACTGTAACCTCCGCCTCCAGGGTTCAAGCAATTCTCCTGCCTCAGCCTCCCGAGTAGCTGGGACTACAAGCACATGCCACCACACCCAGCTAATTTTTGTATTTTTAGTAGAGACGGGGTTTCTCCATGTTGGCCAAGCTGGTCTCAAACTCCTGACCTCAGGTGATCCACCCGCTTCGGCTTCCCAAAGTGCTGGGATTACGGGTGTGGGCTACCACACCCAGCCCATACATTATTTTATAAATAATTTGTTGGGACTTAAAGATGGAGAGAAAATACTGACAGGGGAGAAAGTAGATTAAACCTTTAATACTATAAATTACTGAGAAATAAGATCATTTTTCTCAAATTGGGATTCTGAAGTCACAGGATTTTTGATCTGAAACTTTTTTTTTTTTTTTTTTTTGAGACGGAGTTTTGCTCTTATTGCCCAGGCTGGAGTGATCTCAGCTTACTGCAACTTCTGCCTCCCGAGTTCAAGCGATTCTCCTGCCTCAGCCTCCGTAGTAGCTGGGATTACAGGCACGCACCACCATGCCGGCTGATTTTTATATTTTAAGTAGAGATGGGTTTCATCATGTAGGCCAGGCTGGTCTCGAACTCCTGACCTCAGGTGATACGCCTGCCTCGGCCTCCCAAAGTGCTGGGATTACAGGTGCGAGTGACCGTGCCCAGTGATTCTTACATTTTTGTGTGCAAAAGGATCCCTTGAGGAAGATGGGGGAGGGGCATGCAGGTTCTGGAGTCCCCTTCCAGACATTCTGAATGGGCAGATCTGGCTGGGCTGATGCAGTTGCCTCCTTAACAAGCTGCCCACCTGGCACTGATGTGGGTAGTCTGAGGCCCACAGTGTCAGAAGCCCGGTTTAGTCAGGCTTCTGCACGGTGACTGGTTTGTCCCCTCCTGCAGGAGTCACGTGTCCTCTGAACTGGCCGTGGAGCAGAAGAGGCCGCATGGCCAGAGGGAAAGGAAAATTGGTGAGGAGAGCCACAGCTCTGGGGCTGGATTTGAAGGAGAAATCACTGCCTTTCATCCTTGGGTGGTGGTAAAAGCACGTCTTCCTTTGGGGCTGTCCTCAGGTGGGGTGATCTGTTTCTTCACAGTCAGTCATTGTTAATGGTGTGAATCACTCAACTCTGGTTCGACCTCCAACCTTGGCTACCCGTTCCCACCACTCCCTTGTCTAATTTCACTTGCTCACAGCCCCAGGGCCATGCTGAGATTCCACCAGTCCTTCCTCTAATTTCACTTGCTCACAGCCCCAGGGCCATGCTGAGATTCTAACACTAGATCATCTACTGCCACCCGTTTTTCCTGCATAAAATTTACCTTGTTCTGAAACCTTCATCTATATAGAAAGAAACCCATGAAGTCTTTCTAGTTTATTTTTCCAGCTCCCGTCTCCCCATCCCCTAGAATCGTTGACAGAATGAATTAATCTGCGCTGGGATCTGGGTCTCTGGCTGAGGCCTTGGAGCCACCGCCTGTGCCTGTGAGCTCACCCATCATCGCTAACAGGTTGCTCCACAGCCTTTCAGATCTCCATATTTCTCTAACATAAAACCCAAGGGGCCAGGCGCGGTGGCTCGCGCCTATAATCCTAGCACTTTGGAAGGCCGAGGCAGGTGGATCACTTGAGGTCAGGAGTTCGAGACCAGCCTGGCCAACATGGAGAAACCCCATCTCTACTAAAAATACAAAATTAGCGGGGCGTGGTGGCACCTGCCTGTAATCCCAGCTACTCGGGAGGCTGAGGTAAGAGAATTGCTTGAACCCTTGGGGTGGAGGTTGTGGTTAGCCGAGATCGCACCACTGCACTCCAGTCTGGGTGACAGAGAGAGACTCCATCTCGAAAGAAAACACACACACACACACACGCACACACGCACGCACAAAATCAAGGGACTTCCGGGAATTAAAACACCTTGACCCTTTCATCACCAGTGTCTTCCTCATCTTAGAGGCAGAAAAGGAAAAAAAGCAGTGGGAAGCAGTAAGAAGCTACCGCTGACTCACTATGAATTACTGCTGACTTTGAATTATTCAGCAGCTGCAGAATAGCCATCTTTTGTTTAAAAAAAAATAGGCTTTTCTGAAATGCTTTTTGGTTTTTTTTTTTTTTAATAAATACCTTCCCAGAACAGTCAAGATAACTGACATCTGCTAAGTGACTGAGACCCTGTAGAATTTGTATACTGGCATGGTGTGCAGTTTCGTGCAAGTATAACCACAGAGACAGACAAATCTCTATCGTTGCCACAGACTGCTTATAGCAAAATTCCAGAGCTCCTGTCACTGGTCTTTAACAGTTGTGCTTCGTTGATTTTGTTACAACGTGTGCATTTGTGTCAACATTATACAAAGCACTCCTTATCACGAGAGCTAGTTTCACTCTACAACCATGCTATAAGACAGGTATTATTTTAAGATCAAGAAACCAAGGCTCTGAGAGGTTGAGTGACTCACTTAAGATCATGAACTAATAATAAGCGACAGATCAGGGACATGACCTGGGACATTGGTGCCAATTCCAGGGCACCTTCCACCGTATCATGTGGCACTTGCTCTACATATGTGCCAGGCAGCACCCGCACGGCTTTTGCTCATGAAACAACGTGGACCCAGGCCTACATAGCAGTTGTGAGAAAGTGCCTCCAGCTGGGAGCACATCTGGTCCAGGGCACCAGCTGCCACTCCACGCTCTGAATCCATCCTGGTCCATGCTGAGGCTCCATTTCCATGGGCCGCTCCCCGCCCATGGTGGGGCATGGCAGGGACACTAGGCAGGCCCTTCCTGAGAGACATGGGGCTTTTCTGCCTAGAATGTTGCCTCAGCACTTCCCTTCTGCCTTGCTGAACTTTCCCTAGAACCAAGGAGACCTCCATACAACCTTTCCTCTCCTTCGTTTGGAGTCAGACTTGCATTGCAGTCTAATGGTCACCCCACTTTTCTCCAGGCCATAGATAAAATCTACAGCCTCTGCTTCTTGGAGGACCCAGATTATCACAGCTTATCTCATTCCTTTGCAGCAGATGTCCTGGCAAGCCATCTCTCCAGGCTCAGGAACCTAAAGAAGAATCTGCCCAGGTGTGGTGGCTCACACCTGTGATCCCAGCATTTCGGGAGGCTGAGGCAAGAGGATCACTTGAGCCCAGGAGTTGGAGACCAACCTAGGCAATAAAGAAAGACTCCCATCTCTCCAAAAAAAAAAAAAAAAAGAAAGAAAAGAAAAGAAATTAGCTGGCTATGGTGCTGCACATCTGTAATCCCAGCTACTCTAGAGGCCACGGCTGGAGGATCACTTGAGCCCAGGAGTGAGCTATGACCACACCATTGCACTTCAGCCTCAGTGACAGAGCAAGGCCCTGCCTTAAAAAAAAAAAAAAAGAGAGAATAAGATAAAACAAATAATAAAGGAGACCCTAGTGCTCAGGTTCTCTAGTGAAGAGGAAGGCGAAAGATAGAAAGGTCAGACAAACTTGAACATGCATGCCAAGATTGGCCTGGGTCTGCCCGTAGACGTGGAGGAATCTTCTGGTAGAATGTTAGGCAGGGAAACGGATGCTGCTATGAGCATGTCTGCCTGGGCAGCTTGCGATGGTCAGGAGGAGATGGTTGCTCCCCAGCAGCGGTGCTTCCGATGAAGCCCCATGTTGCAGTGGAAGACAGGCCATTCCTGTCTGGCCTTCTGCACCGCACCTAGGCTTCCAAAAGCTGCTATCGTCAAGACCTATTTTTGTTCACCTTTAAACTGCTTGTTATGGGGAGGAGCCAGCCAGCCATGACGCATACTTGTTAAAGAAAGAAGCGCCCATGGTGAGCGCTCCTGAGAAGAAGAGAGAGCATTCGTCATTTTCTGTATCTGTCATTCGAAGAAGGAATCAATGTCAAAAATCCCACACGTTCTGCTCCTGTGAGTCACAGAGTAAGCCTCCCATTCTCGAGCTCGTTCAGTCACCAAACACATTCTGACTCTCCTGTGCCCAGGCAGTGGGATTCAGAGAAGAAATGCTGCGTAACAGTCAGCACCCAGTGCCAGGAAAACAGGACAAGGGGAGTTGTCGGGGCAGACACCAGGATTAAAGTTGCTTTTACTAAAAAGACATTTTTTTTACCTTGTTAACAAACATATTTACCATGGTACATGGTGGCAATGCTCTCAGTTTTAAAACACAGCAACCATCCTCCAGTGGTCACTAATTAATCCAGGTGTGGCTAGGAACAGCTAGATATAGATGTGTGTGATGATGGCACCTCTATCATCTGGCTGCCATTGCTGGCTGGGGTTCTGTTCTGGGGCTATGTGCCCAGGGTTTACACCTCACTATCTTACAGCACACTGGAGCTCCCAACAGTCCCCCGAGGTCAGGAGATAGCCAATGGGCAGGAGACAAGAGAGGGGTTTAGACATCAAGGAGCCAAGTTCTACAGCATTCTCTAGATCCGGGCTATCAAGCATTTGAAATGTGGCTAAGTCTGAACTGAAATGTGCCATGTGTAAGAGACACAACAGATTTTGAAGACAGCATGAGAAAAAGAAAGTAAAATATCTCGGTAATTTTATATTGGTCACATGTTGAAATAATACTAATTTTTGATATAATTTTGATATATTGGGTTAAATAACAGCTGAGCCGAGACCACGCCACAGCCTGGGTGACAGAGTGAGAATCCATCTCAAAAAAAAAAAAAAAAAAAAGGATGAGTGAACAAATAGCATCTGCTACTCATTTCTGGTAGGTCAAGAAGCAGTTCTACCCTCTCCTAATCTTAACCTAACACCTGAGAAGGAGGTAGGAGATTTGCAAAAATCCATCTCCCAAATTTGAATCTTCAGCCCTGAACTCCCCTGAGGTGTATATCTGACTGCTTACTTGCAAACTCCACTTAGACGAGTAATAGACAGCTCAAACTTCACATTTCCAAAACAGAATTTTTTATTTGCCCCTCATACTGGCTCCTACCTAAGTCTTTTTCATCTTAATAGATGGCGCCATGATCCATCTGGTTTTTTTCAGGGCGAATACCTAGAAGTCATTCTTGAGTCCTGTAGTTTCCTACTCTTCTCCCCTACGATCACCACCACCCAGTCCCATCCATTCAGGAAACAGTCCTATTGCTTATGCCTGTAATCCCAGCACTTTGGGAGGCCAAGGCAGGTGGATCACTTGAGGTCAGGAGTTCAAGACCAGCCTGGTCAACATGGTGAAACCCTGTCTCTACTAAAATACATAAAAATGAGCTGGGCATGGTTGTGTGTGCCTGAAATCCCAGCTACTCAGGAGGCTGAGGCAGGAGAATCGCTTGAACCTAGGAGGCAGAAGTTGCAGTGAGCTGAGATCATGCCACTGCACTCCAGCCTGGGTGACAGAGTGAGACTCTGTCTTAAAAAAAAAAAAAAAGAAAAAGAAAAAGAAAGAAAGAAAGAAAAGAAAGGAAACTATTGGTTCTATTGCAACATCCATTGCTACTACATCCACTTTTTCCACTGTCACTGTTATCACCTAGGGATAAGCCCCCTCCATCTCTCACGTGCATTATTTCTGACTGTCCAGGTGTTGCTGCCACCACTATCAGAATTCTGTAAGCCATTATTATCCTTCTGACAAGACAAAAACATGGATGCTATGAACCGTACAGCAAGATGACTTTGATCCGCATGTAACAGATGCGCTTCCATCCACAGAGACACCACATGGGAGGGAAACAACTGGAGGCAGTCATCTAAATATACAACTGCCTTCGGGCAAGTCTTCACTTGGCTGGTCCAGACAGCAATCTACCCTCTTTATAAAGCCCTCCACAGATGTGAGGTTCAGAGACAGGCAGGCCTAGGCTTTGACTCAACCATTCATTGGTTGAATAGCCTTCCCCATGGGGTGGGTACAATAACGGGTACAATAACGACAGCAAGCATCACTTTCCACCCCAGTGCTCTTCCTGCTGCCTTTGGGGACCTCACCAACATCATCCTCCAGTTCAGAAGCAAGCAAAGCAGAACCCTCACCCCCACTTAGAACATACAAAACAAAAAACAGCCTTCATGTGCAGGATCACAGACAAATGAGGGAGAAATCAAAGATGATGGAACTACACACAGACACACTTTCCTGATTTGGTTATTTAATGATTTTGTATTGCTACAGAATTGCAGAGGAAATTAACTTAGCTTATAAGAAGACGAAGGACTAGGAGCCTGAACATTCCATGTGAGACCTTTGCCCACAAGAGCAGAGGACCCTGATGCTCCTCTCTGCGATCAGACTAGGGACTCTGCACCTTCATGCCCTCCCTCTTCCTGCCCCTAAACATCACCTTCTCCTATGGCAATCCTCCTGAAACATCCTCCTCTCTTACAACTCAATAGGCCCCATAAACACACTGCCATTCTTCCAGTCATCTTTGACTCCTCCTTCTGCCTGACCACTCATCTCCATTGGTAACTCTTATGTGTTCCTTCAACTGTTTCTTAGACCTGCAGGCACCACCTGGAGCAGATATCTCCGTACTTCATGTGACCTCCCAGGAGGTGGTCCTTTCTTCACCATCTTCCCCGTTCAGTCCAGCTCACCATGATCACTGCTGCCAGGTTAATCTCCCATAAGCACCATTTTCTTTAAGTCATTGTAAATAAGAATCTGCAGTAGCTCCCTATGGCTTATTCATTCATTTTCTAAAAATCCATTCATCCATCACATAGTTATGACAAGCTATATGCTAGGTGCTGGGGATAATGGTAAAGAAGACAATTGAGCACCAACTTCATAAATTCCAGTGAACTGCACACCCTTCTGTATGATTTTCAGCCCTTCACCAGCTCTCAATCGGGCCTTCGCTTTCATTCTTTCCCCAGTGTGAAGTTTCTCCTCCCCTTACTTTATCCTCTGAATTTTGCTCATCATGAAAGGATCAATTCAAAGCCTCCCTCCTCAATACTTCTGTGAATTCATATCACTGACTTCCTATATACCATTCATTTGGTTCTTATCCTCTATGGCCTTTTAAAAAATGCATTTCACAAATGAACTTACTTTTTCATTTCTGAGTCTTATCCCCACAATTATATAATATAAATGTCTTGAGGAGAGTTCCCCCACAGATTTTTAGTTGGTAGAGTGTTTCATACCAATTTTTGATTAATTACTTTATCTATAATTACTTTATTATAGAAATTTAATAATTACTTTATTATAGAAATTTACTATTTGAGTTAGGCATGATGGCTCAAGTCTGTAATCCCAGCACTTTGGGAGGCTGAGGTGGGTGGATCACTTAAGGTCAGGAGTTCGAGACCAGCCTGGCCAACATGACCAAATCCCTTCTCCACTAAAAATACAAAAGTTAGCCGGCGTGGTGGCATATGCCTGTAATCCCAGCTGCTCGGGAGGCTGAGGCACGAAAATCACTTGAACCTGCGAGGCAGAGGTTGCAGTGAGCTGAGATCGTGCCTCTGCACTCTAGCCTGGTGACAGAGTGGAACTCCGTCTCAAAAAAAAAAAAAAAAGAAATTTACTGTTTGAGGAATCGACTACATTATGTCAGTGAAAGCCATAAAGGAGAAAATAAGACTATTATTTTACTGTTGTCATCATAGCAAATTGTCCAGTTGAATTTCTACCATTTAGACTGTATATTAAATCTTTAATAAGCTGATGTTTAATATCCATCCTATACATTGAAAAATTATTTACAAACTCCATTTGTAAAACAGGAGCCATGCTTAAAGTCAGGATTTGATATTTCACTGTTCTTTATTATTTCTTGTGCTCCATATGACATTGAACAAACAGCAAGTGCCCGTTAAAAATAATTCACCGTAATATTTCCCTATATTTCAATGGTTAATTTTCTTGTCTGACTTTGCCATTGCTTTCTGACTTACTCAAAGGCAAGACTGTTTTGTCCACTGTGGCATCAGTGGTACCCAGGACGGGCCTGTTACTGACTGGAGGGGAAAAGACCAGTGAAGGTGATGGATGGATGGAAGGATGCCTGAATAGACAGATGGACAGATAAATGGGTTAGTGACATAGAGCAGTAGAGATTTCTCCCAGTCTGGGGTATTAGAAACTTCCTCAAGGAACTGGCATTTGAGCTGAATCTTACAGGCTAAGGAAGATTTAGCTGTGTGAGATGATAACAAGGGCAAACCCAGGCAAAGCCAACATCCTGAGCAAAAGCTCAATGGGCCAGAAAAGTGTGACTGCAGGAGAGTTGGCAAGCTATGGAGACATGGAAAAAAAATTGACGAGAGAAGATACGTTTGATGTCTTTTGGCCAGGCGCAGTGGCTCACACCTGTAATCTCAGCACTTTGGGAGGCCGAGGCAGGTTGGTCACAAGGTCAGGAGTTCAAGACCAGGCTGGCCAA